AATGAGAAAATTCACAATAGCCGAAATGTTTGCAAATCATGCACACTAAGACAAGTTCACAAAAGCAAAGCAATTCATAGCAAAAAAACCCAAACAAAATAATAAGAAGCCATACAGATTAAAAAAAGCTATTGCCTGCAGAAAAGTAAAAAGAAAACTAACCAATTATTACATCAAGCATCTTTAATGAAATGAACAGCATAGCCGTGTATTGTAGAGCCTTTGACACTGACATTTTAAACAAGTGGATTAACAAACATTAAAATGCATTACAGTTCTACTGTAAGCATGCAATTTACTTCTCACAAACTTATAAAACAGGTAGAAACACTTAAAGAAAAACAGAATTTAAATAGGATGCGTGTTTTCTACCCAAAAGTCCAGAATCTGGTCTTGTTAAAAATAAAGCCAATGAATGGAGGCATTATCACCTAGGTTTGCAGCTCTTCTGTGATTTGGGTGGAGATGAAGAGGCGCGATACAGCTTAAGCTAGCAGGGGAAAGCTCGTCCCTCTTGCCACAATTTAAGTCATTTGCCCATGATTTGCAAGCAAAGTCTGGAATAGAAGCGACTGCGCAGCGTATGCGAGAGCATCGCCGGCTGCCAGGCGAGGGGCTGGTTCGCGGCTGGGGGCAGGGGTCGCTGCCGGAGGTGCCGTAACCGTCTGAGCCCTTTTTTTGGTGGCTTCCAGCCACGGCGCTTGCGTGGTTACGGCAGCGCTAGAAAGAGCCACCAACCCAAAGCGAACGGGCAGGAGAAAACACACTCGTGGGCTGGCTACGCCGCAGCCGCCAGCACACACCAGCGGACGCAGGGCGCTCGTTTTGAGTAATTAAACCCTGCGTTGGTAATGATCCTAGCGACAGGAGACGCTAGTCTCGCTCCACCCTAATTACGATTTGTGCTACCGCTGAACATCTCTATGTTAAAAAGCGCCAGTATCTCTCTTTGGGGCCGCTTGTGAGACCCAGTCGTCATTTTTGCTTCCTTGATAAAATTATTTCTAGAAAGTTTGTGAGAAGTCATGCCTTCGTAACGCCCCTATCCCCAATCCTTGTGAGTTACATTCCAAGTGGGCATTAAAAACTCATAACAAAGCACAGGAAAAAAAAAAATAAAAAGCAAACTCAAAGCAGTGAGGATATGGAGCCTTTAAAAAAATAAAAATAAAATAAAAAGTCCAGTCAATCAAACCAGCCAGCAAGAGCAGCAATTTTTCAGTGGACATTGATATTAAACATGGACCACCCAGGCTTTTTCTGTCTCTCTCTCTCTCATTAGCACTGTAGTAAACCCCGATTAATTTGTTATGCATCTTTAAGAACTAGTTGATAAAAATTATGTCTTGTGAAATCGGCAAATAGTCTGCAAAGTGAAATAAGAACAGAAATTAATAGATTAAACTGAAAAGATAAGTCCCAGAAATTAAAAAAAAAAAAAGAGACACAGAAAGGGAGTGATTGCAATTAAAAAAAAAAAAGGCTATGTACTGAGTTATAAAGGCCTAGAGGAAAAAAATAACATGATGGGAGAAGATAGAGCAGTCGCCAAGGTGATTGCGTGCGTCTCGCCCGTGGAGCAAGGGGCCGTCCCCGTGCTGCCAGGGAGCAGCGGAGGAGGCGGGAGAGGGACCGTGCGGGGGCCCTGCCAGCAGCTCCGGCCGCCGGTGCTCCCCAGTACAGAAACAGAAACGCAAACTGGTGGATCGTGACATTTGTAGCCTTGTTTCACTTGGACAACAGCAAATACCAACAGGACAGTTCAATTCCGATGGGCATTCAATTTTTTTTCTTTTTATTAAAAAAGTAAACAGGTAGCATAACCTGAGGAGTAACGGGAATAACGCCCGCTGGCAGGTGCCGAGGCACCGCAGCGCAGAGCCCGGCGGGATGGTGCCGGCTGACAGCACGGCTCTGCAGTGACAGCCCCCGGGGACGACCCCGGCCGCAGCCCGCCCTGCCAGGCTGATTCACTGCAGCGCAGGCACCAGTGCAGGAGAACAGGTTTCGCGACACAACTGTCCTGTAGCAAAAAGCACTACCAGGTCTCCTCCATAACGAACTATCGGAATACAGCTGTATATCTATATGTATTATCTGTATATTTATACATATACGTCGGTGCGGTTGCAAGACCACCACTGTTTAGGTACCGCGGAGGCGGGAGGCAGCCGAAGCTCTCAGGCACGCTGCCTGGGATGCTCCTGCAGAAACGGCCAAATATTTCTCTTTTTGAATCATGACACTGAGCATTTGGGCATGACAACTTATTAAAAAAGCAGATTTCAGATTGCTTTCCATCAGGTTCGCACGTGCTCCTATCTCACGCTCTGAGCCACAGTCGTACCATGGGCCCCATGCGTACTTCTGCAAGTGTCAAAACACGCAAAGGGAAGGGTTGGGGGGTTCGGGCTCTTTTGAGGAGGACTATGTGCTGCAACCACGCTTATGCTATTTATCCCGTGGCACTGAACGCCTTTCCCCATGGCTGGTCGGTCAGGCTGCCTACTCGATTCCTTCCCACCAGTGCCTGGAGGAGGGGGAGCGAGGGCTGCAGGAGCCCTGTGCCGCAGGACGCAGCTCCCACCAGCAGAGAGGCGCGAAAGGAGAGCAGGGAGAGCCACGCAGGCACCCGGGACACGGCAGGACACAACCCTGTGGAGCGGCACTTCCACCGCTGTTCCCGTGGCAGGAGCAAGCGGTGCTGGCACATCCCCGTCCTCAAATCCTGACCCGCTCCCGAAACGCTCCCTTGCACCCTGAGCCTTGCTCCCGTGGTACAGGGCTCTCGGCCCCCATCACTGCTCCCTCCAAACGCCTGGCTCCAGCGAGGGGGACGCCCCGTCCTGCGAATGGGTGTCAAACCCCTCGCGCCGTGCCTCCCGGCGGGCGGGGTCCCGCGCCCCGTGCCGCTCGGACGGGTCGTGTTTCTGGAGACCAGAGTCCCAAGTCATCTGAGAAAAAACACCTAACAACTCTATTAACGGTTCTGATTGCTGTTAAGGAATAAATTATCTGAGTGGGAGTGGAGGAAACAACAGCAGAGCTTTAGGGCAGGGAAATCCAAGCAAGGTGATGGAGGACTCTGAGCAGCTCCCCTTCGCTGCCCTGCTCCCGAAGGCACAACGGGTGCCTGCAATGAGATTTTTAGTGGTGACAATCCACTTCGGTTTTCTTCTGCGTATTCAATCTCTGCAAGAGACTGAAAACAGCCCCCAAATAACTGGCAGGTCTGTTTTGAAAAACCAGGCCCTTAATAAAAATATATATAATGAAGGCTAGAGTCAAACAGTACCTCTGCTGTCAGCTGGCAGACACGTTCATTTTAGACATGTTTCTAATTAAAGTCATCTAAGCTCTACTGATTCTCATCATTTAACTTATCAAAGGTGTCTCTCATTTAGCTGTCTTCATACGAATCAGCTGGTACAAGGAGTCGTGAGGGCCCGGGAAGAACGCGTGAGACAACACACAAACGCCTTCCGAAGCCTCCTCCTTATAGTCAACTACTAATGGCTGCAATCCCTGCCAGCCCGCACCTCTGCCCGCTGCCTCCAGCGGAGCAGGCAGCGGTGGTGTCACCCGCAGGGGCAGCTGCCTTGTCACCGCCAGCAGCCTGGTCACTGCCACGCCGCCCCGGCAGCTCCGCTGTCAGCCCTGACACCCTGGTTGTTTCGGACCTGGCTCGGTTTGGGAGGGGGGTAGCACAGGTGGGAAAGAGGCAGATGAGTTTCAAGTAGAGCTCCGGCGTTTGTGAAGTTTAGGAATTGAAAAAAAACCCTAACAGCACTGTTTCCCTTGGTGCTATTAGTCCTGCAGAAACCAGCTCCACAGAAACTACTGTCCCAAGGACGTTATTTGTCTTATGGATGTTAATAACACGTATGCTTCCAATGCAAGGTTCCATCCTAATGACCTCATGCCAACGCAAGGCCGTATCTTCGCCCCAGCGTGCCGCAGGTAAAGCCGAGCATCCCTCCACATCCTCACCCATCCTAAGGGACCTTCCCGTGAGGGTGCCTGGTTTTCCTCCCCGCGGAGCTGCTGCCCCTCCTGCACCCGCTCACTCGCTTTCCCAATGACCCTGAGCAGAGCTGTGCTCCCACCGCTCCCTTTCTAAGCCACCGCGGAGCCTGGCAGCGGGCGGTGGGACCGCTTGTGCGTGACCCCCACGACAAGCGCGCTCATGAATTTAATGCACAGCACACTGGGGTTTCCTCACCACGGTGTCCGCGTGGCCTTCAGCTATTAGTAAGCCATAAACACAGCAGCGTCACGTCGCTTGTTCCAGCTGCCCGGGAAACCCCAAGGTGAAAGGAAAGGAAACCGTGTCCGGTGTGGCTTCAGCCCCACCCACGGGACGTGCTGGAATGGGAAAGGGCTTCTCCTGATCCCCGCTGTGCCCCGCAGCGCGGTGCAGCCGCCCCGCCGCCATCCCACCGCCGCGGCAGGCAGCAGCCGCGCCAAGGAAAGGGGGGAAACCAAACCGAAGCCAAAGTGAACCATCAACACACGGCTAGAAACTATTCCTCTGAAGGACACCAGCGATATCGATACAGAACGCAGGAAGGCTGGACTTCTTACGCCAAGACTGCACTCGTAATGAGTATACACTTACCGCAGGATAGCATGGGAACGTGTGTGCGAGTCTCTGTGTGCGTGTGTGTGTCTGTCTGTCTATATATCTATAATATATATGAAAGAAAAAACCCATCAAAGGGAGGGCAATAGCTCTTAAATGATCTCTGTTGCTTTATGTTTTAATTTAAGAAGTTTGTTTTCAAATAACCAGTACCAATTTACACATTAGCAAAAATGTATTTAAAATCTGTATATAGAAATATCTATTGTAAAACAGTAAAAAAATTTGTTGTTGTGTGAGATGCTCCCTGCAGAATTGCCTGTCTCAGCTTGCAGCTATGGATTTAAAAAAAAGGGGGAAAAAAAAAAAAGAAGGAAAAGGGGGGGGAAAAGTAAATCTGCAAATGAAATGTACGTACCTGGGAACTGATAGCTGTAACTTGGGGCAAATCCAGGGTATCCTCGGCCATACGTTGCAACAAAATTCGGGTAACCTTGATCACAGAAATGTAAAAAAAAAAAAAAAAAGGAGAGAGAGAGAGAAAGAAAAGTTTGAAGATTAATAAAGGCTTTTTGTTTTTAAATACAATGCAAAACGACATGGAGGATGGGTGAGACTTGATTTCACAGAAGGTACTAAGAAACCAAGATTTATTCTGCTCATGCAGAACTGCAGAAAGGTTTCATTATTATCTTGGAAAAAAAAAAAAAAAAAAGGAGAGAGAGAGAGAAAGAAAAGTTTGAAGATTAATAAAGGCTTTTTGTTTTTAAATACAATGCAAAACGACATGGAGGATGGGTGAGACTTGATTTCACAGAAGGTACTAAGAAACCAAGATTTATTCTGCTCATGCAGAACTGCAGAAAGGTTTCATTATTATCTTGGATAGAAACATCTAGAGCTTGCCGGCCTGGCTTTGTGCATGAGACCTGTCACTCAGGTAATTAACATGCACTTTGGTGTCTGAAGTCCAAGGACTGTGCATACTTGTTAGCTGGAAGAGTAAATGCCAAATGCTAAGGCTAAACACATAACACAGGTTTGCTCTGACATTTGGAGAGCTTACAATGAATGTACTTTGCTTCAGAGCTATTGACAGTTGGAGATTAAGGTAGTAGTAATTCTTTAACCTGGAGTGTGAAGGACAACAGTTAACACATCAAAGAGTGAGAGGCAGCAACAGCAATGAGCCGGAGAGTCAAAGAGCTTTTAATTTTTCAGGAAAGTAAAACCCAGGTATGAGAACCGCTTCCTAAAGCAATTTCTGAGATACGTGCAGAAACGCATCCAACCTCAGGCAGCTTTTGAAGTTTTATTATGACAAAAATACCACTCAGGATCATTTTGTTAATAAAGATGCTGAAGCACATGCATTAAGCGGCAACTCTGCCTGCTCTAACACAGCGGCTGGGAGTGAAAGGTGGTGTCGGTAGGAGAGCAGAGCCCTCGGGGGCGGTGGGTGCGGGAAGTCCACCCGCGGGTGTTTGATGGACGGAGGTACCACCACTTGGCTGTCAGCCCCGCGGGTGCTCAGCCGCGGGGTTCACCGCCTTACGCAGCGCGTGCCTTGCCAGCATCGCAGGTGGTGAACTCTGACAAGCGGGCCAGGGGCGAGGGGTTTCACTCTGCAGGCAGCAGGAAGGTTTGCGTATGTGCTGGAGCTCACACCAGTCCCTAAACGCGCGTGGGCTGGCAGCAGCCAAGGGGGTCACACACTGAGACCCCCCTGTGTTTTAACTTCCCAGCCGTAATGCAAACCGGCTGTCCTCTGGTCCCACCGCGGCTGTTTGCTACAACCGGTACAGCCGACATCACGAGCTGCCCTGTGCAGACTTCCTAAAATTGTCACCTCACTTCCAAGCCTCAGCATTTGCTTGCTCGGTTTTCTTAACAACAGGAACTACCCTTCGCAATTGTCAGTGCAATAAACGCTGCGTAACGCTCCCGCTGACTGCCGGGGTCAGCCAGTCCTCCCAGACTCCTCCAGTCTCCAGGAAAGACCTCTCCAGACCAAGAAACCATCACGAAAAGTTTGCTCTCACTCCATCTGAAGTCAGTGGAAGTCTCGGTGGTGACGACAGCAGCAGCTGGGCTGGACCCCGAGAACAGGTTTAGCAGCTGAATGGTTCTGCTGGGGGTCTCCTCTCTCTGCTTTTATTTATTCTTTAATATACTCGTACATCGTACAGCTATTTTTCTGCCGCAGCAAGTCTCTCCATTTCTCATTAGATTTATATATACATATAACGTACGATTAACCATAATCTAAAACTGGAAGATAAAAATGCTTGGATGAATTTTGATTACGGGATTAAGCAGTGCCAGGGGAAAGCAGCCCTGCAATCCCAGGACAGCAGGCTGTGGCTTTCAGCGATATGTACACACCGCTTAGCCCTTGCGTATTTATTTCACAGCTCAACAGCTGGATTCCCTTAGAAATTAATCACCTCTGTCATTAAATCAGATCTTTCAGAGTTAAGCTTTACAAACCTTTTTTTCCTTTTTTTTTTTAAAAAAAACAACAATATTGATAAATGGATTGTTTGCTAAGTAAGTAGCGCCATTAACACCACTGTGAGCTCCACCATGAAAAATCGCTCTGTGGCATCCGACTGCAGCCCCTCTCCTTGCCAACTGGAAAAAATCAAGTTTTATTCCAATTTGAACGACTCTGGAGCAGATCTGTCAGCAGGCGACTGTCAGGGCCGCAGGGGACCGGTGTGCTGGGCAGCGCCTGAGGTGTGCCCCGGGGAGCGGGGGCTGCAGGTGCGGTCCTCATGGCCCCAGCCGGACCGGCACGGCAGCGGATGGCAGCTGCCCGCGTACCCGTGGTGTTTTTGGAGCTGGCATCGCAGTGCAGGATGCCGTCTATTCTGCTGCCCTGCCCTGGAATGCTCTGTGGGGCCGGGGATGCTCCTGCGCCGGTGCATCTGCCTCCGAACCCAGGGCAGCACACAGCAGCAGCCCGGCTCTCCCCGTCCAAACCCGGCCGTGCCTGATGGCAGCGGCACCGGCGGAGCTGCCTGGGGGGCTCTCGCCTGCATCGCCAGTGCTCAACGCTCTCTAGGTCAGGCAGATGAAATCATAAATTTATAATACAACATTACTTCAATTTTCCTCTTCATTTACTGCTGCAGTGCCCAAGCTCTGCTCTAACGAGTCAAAGCCCGATCTGCGCAGGGGAAATTGCCTGGCTGAATATCAATAGCGCATTAACACCATGCCCATGTGGATGCTTCATCAAGCCAAATTATGGCCATGCTGACCTACCACCATTTCCATTAGATGCCATTCTCATCCTGCATTGGGCACCAAACAGTTTATTTGCTTCAGTAGTCCTGGGGAATGATCAATCTCTCTAATTATCCCTTGTTGCTAAACCAAAAACCCAAGTTTTGCCTGGATTGCCTCCTCTGAAGTGAGACCCTCCTGTCCATGGAAGCACAACTCAAACCAACAACCAAAACTGCTTTCACACCACCACTTCCACCCAGCCCCTGTCTGACATCGACGACAGCGGGTCCGAGGCACCCATCCCGCAGGCTGGCTGAACGTCCAGCCCATCTGCGGGAGCCTTGCAGAGCCCCATTTCGCAGCAGCCCAGATCTGGCCCTGCCCAGGCAGCGCTGGCACGCAAGGCGAGAGCGATGGTTGCTGGAAGCACCACGCTGACCACCCGATGGTCACGCTCAACCGGCTGTCACACTCGTGGTGAAGGCAACACGCAATGCGGCCGCGGAGTCCGTTACCACCTCAGCATGTGAGCAACCGCTCGGTGCAGAGACGGTCTCCCGGGGGAAAGCAAAGGCTCTGCTTCCAGGATGAAAACAATTGCAAACAGGTAACACTGACCTTTTTATTTACAGCGTACCTAAGGGCATCCCAGCATTCCTGGTGCTAAAGCCCATGCTGGTGGGCCCATGATAAAGCCTAAGCATTGCAGGCGTTTTACAAAATCTGGGCAAACTGCCCTACCTTCCACTCCACACAGGGGAACTGTGGCCCTGCAAACCGAGCAGCTTGCCACGGCGCACACACAAGGCCACTGGAAAGGCAGGAGAGGTGAGCTGGACTCCCGACTCCCCTCCATCCCCACCAGCACCCCCAGAAGGAGAAACGGCTTCTCTGCTCCGAGCGGGGAAGTGTCCACAGCCACTCAACCAGGCTACGGAAATCTCTCTTCATTTTTAAATTTGGTGATCCAAGATGGACAAAACTCATAGTTACTACGTGGGAACACTGGGCACATTGGGGCCTGGGGACCTCTGCTTTCAAAATTAATTCAAATGTTCCAGTAAATGCAAGAAAATTATTGTTTCCCAATGTTGCTCACAGCAAGGAATGCCAGCTCCTTTGCAAGGAAAGGCACAGTCCTTCTGCCAAAGCACAGCCCCACGCTGCAATAAAAATGCTCAGGGTCTTTCTCAAAAGAAATGTGCTGTGACCTTGACGTAAGCACCTGTGGCACCAGGGAATGCAAACCAAAAATCACCTCCTACGGACATGGGGTGGTCATACACTAGGGAGCAGCTATGGAGAAGAAACACATCTGCTGTAGGAGTTTCTCCCTTGGTCCAACAAAGTTGACCTATCTCCTTCTTCAAGGGAATTAAAGAGCTGGGCTAAAGCTGGCCATGGCCACGTTTGCCAGTGATGGCTACAGCGGGTGCTGCTCTAGGAGCCCAGGGGGGTTCCAGTAAGTTGTGCCAGCCTCCCGGGAAGCCTGTGCTAACAAAGGGCTCCCCTTCCTGAATCCTGCCTCAGAGGCAGCTGCTACTCTATTAAACGGAGTCTAACGGAAAAAAGGAATGACTTTCTTTGAAGGGCACAAGCTTCTTTTATGCATGAGTTCAGCCTACCTAGATTGAACGTGTGCAGTAATGCAGAGCCCCGCTCTGCCTTGTGCAGCGACACAAGCAGCCTGCTAGAGACTTTCTGAAATCCGGTGTTCATATCAGACATCATTTTGGCACTCTGGGGCTATAAGCTTTATGGGCCGAGCGCTCCTGTTTCTGGAGGGGTTTGTAAGTTAAAAAGAGCCCAACTTTAATATTAAACACCAGCAAGTCTAAGATGCCCATTGCCAGAAGAAATAAGTGCTGCAGGGCCCCAGCTCAGACCAAGCAGTGCGACAGTCACCTCCAGAGCCGGGCGTCACCGCCGGGACCACTGCAACGGCAGCTGCAAAGTCCCAGATGCACAGAGCTGCTTCAGATGGGAGGGCAGACGGAGATGACCTGCTATTAACGTTGCTCCTCAGTTGCTTTCTTTTCTCTTGGTTTTTTCAAGTTTTCAGGTACAGACCTGAATGGAGGGCAGAAAGCCGTGGGGCAATGCAGTGACACCCACACACCCTTGGGTGACGGGGCTCCTGGTTTGCACACCAGGACCAGGTGACAGAGGTGAGGCTTCTGGGCGCATGGCAAGCTTCTCGGCCACCGCAACTGCTCCCGCTTGGCTGCAGATGTGTGCATCGCCTGCTCGGGGGGACACGGTGCCTGTTCAGGAGCATCCACGGGATGCTGCTGGGGAGCAGCTCTTCCTGCCGGGTGGGCTGCCAGGGCGAGAGATCACTGGGACTGAAACCTCTCTAGCCCACTCCTCATGCAGAGTGGCTAATTAATGTTCCTGATCTCCCCCAAGACCGCTCACGTCCACCAGCAGACCAAGCCCAAGAGCCCAGAAGCAGTCCTGGCAAAAGGCTCAGCCTGCCCGTGCTCTCGGAGTCAAAAAATCCTTTCAGAAGAACACTTTAATTTTGTTCCAATCAACCAAATCATCACAGAAGCGGCTGCCTACGCACCTTTAGACCCCGGCTGCTGCAGGCTCCTTGGGGAGGCTGTGATTAATGAAAAAGACCAACTTCCTTAATAGCTTTGGAGGGAGTAGCTCTCCGCTCTTTCCTTTGGGTTGTCTCGTGCCTTCGTTCCTCCGATTCCCTCCCTCTGCCCATGAACGGCATCTGGAGAAGGTGACCTTGAACAAGGGCTTCTGGAAACAGGTATAAAAATTCTTCAAGACCAGCCCCAATCGCTCTGTTTCAGTCCAGCTAGGCAGCTGAAAGGAGGAACGGGGTAGGGCTGACACCAGCCTCCTGGGATCTCAGCAAAATGCTCAGCTACTGCAGACGCTGCCTCCGGCGGTACGTTACTTTGTGCGCCTCGTCGTTTGATGGGTTAATTACGCCCCTCTCCCTGCGGGGACTGGGCCCCATCGCCGCGCAGCTGCTGGGGACTGGGGAGGAGAGATTCGGGCTCCCCGCTGAGCCGCTGCCCATCAGCGCCCTTGAAGCCAACTCCTACAGGCAGCCTTTGAAAACGGGGATTTATAACGGCCATCCAGGCAGCCTTGCTCTCGCGTGTTACAATTTCCTTGTTTAGCACTTAATTATTTAACACGGTGCCACTGTAGCAAGCAGGAACTTGGAAGATGAAAAAACCAGCTAGAGCAGCTAATGAAGCATCTGGCCTTCAACACGAAATCAATCATTAATTCTGAGCAAGTCACCCTGATTTGAAATCTAATAAGAGCACATTGCGAGACTGGCCGGAGCAGAGCCGGTTGGGGTGACCCGACCCACCCACCGCAGCAGGACGGGGATTTGCCAACAGGCACCCGCATCGCTTGCTCTGTGCAGACGCAGATCCGCTCGCTGAGGGCTTCTTCCCTTACTTCTTAGGGCTTGAAACGATCTTTTTCCAGAGAGGCAGCCCCGGTGGGAATGAATTTTCCCTTCAGGTCACTGGGGTAGACCCTGGCTCCATTCACTCCTTGCCTGGCTGCGAGAAGGGTTGAGGCTACTCTGCCCATGGTGAGCAGAAGAGGGATGCTGCCCTGGGGCTTTTCGCCTACCCGGGGCAACCTGGGCTCTCTCCTCCAGCAGCCAGGCGGGACTGGCCAGCAAGGCGGCACGCACCACCTCCACCACCCCAAACCTCGGGCACCACAAGTGGAAAAGAAAGAGAAACAACAGAAATAAAGTACATAGGCTCAAGCACACTGGGAACATACAGGTAACGAAATCACAGACTGACTAGAAGATGATAAATATTTTAACCGTAAAATGTAATTTCCAAACACTGTGGGGCAGGGTGGCAGTGGAGTGTGGGGACAGAAAAATAGATGATCAGCTGAAATAACCGAATTACACATCCCAGAAATGGATCGCTCCAGCCACACGAACAGAAGTACTATTAATTCAGAGATAAAGCAAACATGGCAGGAAAGTTTTCCCTATCAAATCAAGCGGTGCCTGAAGTCAGAAATCCCAGCCTAACAGCCTGATACTCATAGGAACCCAGTCCTCTGACCTGACGCCCGCTCCAGGAGCCTGGGGGTCCTCCAGCATCTCAGACAGCCCGTGGACCTGCTCAGCAGAGCTCAGGACAACCGAGCACCAGCTTTCCAGGCTGGTTTTTGTCCTCAGCTTCTGGGATCATCTAAACCCAGGACAGAAAATTCAAAGCATCCCGGAGAGGCCACGTACCAGGGATGCTAGCCTGGGAAAGGCTGATTTCTGCCTGGGAACACCTCTCGATCATGCGTGCTTTACGGACACAGCAGGTGACAACCGAGGGAAAGTCCAGTGACACAAAGGGAGCGGAAAGTTGAAAATATATGGGGTTTTAAAAAAATACGTTGGCAATGGATTAGCAGCGTTTTGGGTTAGTAAATCTGAGGACAGAGTATCAAGAGGTTGTCACATTATATAGAAAGAAGAACTATCTAGGCAGAAACAAATGAGAACCAATTATAACTAAATAGACCTCATACACAAATAGAATTCTGCCATTAAATATCATTTATCCCATTTAATTAGTATTTTCTGGACACAATACTCTGGACTAAAATACCGTTCCATCTCCTTGAAACTTGTAATTATTGTTGTGACCTATACTGTTACGCATCTCCCTGCTTTCTCCATCTTGCATGCCATTTAAGAACCAGCAAGATTTTCAATTATCTATGCTGAACTGTCAAAGATACCTTTAAAAGAAGGGGAATAATGTGTGACTCAATTCCTCTAAAAAAGGGGAGAGATCATTTTTAGTCAGAATGAACACACTGCGTCTTTCATCATTCTATTTTTGCGAGTAAGAGTAAAACAGGCTATTTAAAACATCCATTTAAATGCAAATTTTTATATTCCAGGAAGGGGGGGGGGGGGGGCTAAACTTTATTTTCACACACACAGA